CCTAAAACCAAAGAGTAAACAGAAAGTCGTTGGATGCAAATAAGAAGTGACAGTGTTGAGAGGTGGGAACAGTTTGCCGGAGAGCCTTGAAGGCATAGCAAAGAAATGCAAAGTTGATGTGATTAGCAGTAAGAAGTCTCTCTAGGTTCTAGAAGACAAAGTTTAGGAAAAGACTGGCGTTAACCTATTCTAACTCTGAGAAATGCATGTGTTTTGAAATAGGAAAGGAGTTAAAATATGGACTGTCTGTTGTAGAGACAATTCACAGCAAGAGTTCGCTTCTTTGTTTACAATAGCAAGGAGTTGGAAACAACCTAAATGCCCATCAACAAACGAATGGCTAGAGAAGCTGTGGTATATTCGCACAATGGAATACTATGCTGCATTGAAAAACAAGGAACTCATGCAATATTATTCAAAATGGGTGACCCTGGAGGACATTATGCTGAGTGAGGTATCTCAGTCACAGAGGGACAAATGCTATATGGTGCCACTGTTGTAGAATGAGGCTGACATCGGGGTGGGGAATAAGACTGAGAAAAACTGGATGAAATATGTTTAGGGCATTGAAGTCTATGGGGGAGAGAATAGTTTAAAAGTATTATATTTTAGGGCATTATTTTTATCGTAGGAGTATGCAGATGTTCATTGAAATGAAAAATAAACAAACTAAATAAAAAAAAAAAAAAGGTTAGCTTCTGATCTAAACTTGTTGGATCACATTAAGCCAGAGAGAAGCGGCCACTTGTGTAACCTTTGGTAGGATAAAGATTCTTATTATATTGCTGTGCTGTGAAATATAATTTGCATATAAATCTCTCTCTAAACCAAAATAAACCTCCAGTACTGGTTTCCAGAAGAGCACTGCAATGGTACTGTTCATCTTAGGAAAACCTAGGCATTTAAGAGGATAAGACCCACAAGTCCTCTTGTCTGATACATAACCTATTCAGTTAATCATGATATGACCAGGATCTATGCAAGGACAAAGAGAAAACAGGAAATGAAGAAAAAAGCGCTCCAAAGTCACATTTATGATCCCATCAGACATTTCCTACACTGTTGGGTTTTTTAATTGTCCATGATCATTGATATTGACATTAACCATTTCAGAATAGTATTTCTCTTTTCTTCACTATTTGCTTCATTGCTAAACAACTCATCCCAGGTCATTATCCTGTTAGGGTGGAGGACCGGTATCAGTACTGACTGGGCTATTAGAGTTTCCTAGAACTTTACCTTTGCACTCTGAATAATCTCCCATTGACTAAGCTCTTAATCTACTCTTTAGCTTTTCAGATGGATGTCGTTGTCTTAAATTGTTAATTATAGCCCGTTTAATTTCCGGGGACTGCTTCACCGTATGTTTCTTTTAGGAAAATGGTGCAGAATTGATTTCACTTTTGGTAAGTTACAAACTAGCAATCTGGTTTGGGTGCTTGCCCTTATCTGAAAGACAAGGGCAATGTTGAACTAAGAGACGGGTTTTAAAAAGTAGAAAGACAAGAGTGTGGATGACTCATCTTAGTTAACTAAAGATAGTTTTTTAAAAAAGGTCTTTTCTGGCCTGAATTAGCAATATAGTTGCCTCAGATTTTCACGTCACTTGAAATATGTGTCTGCGCGCGCGCACACACACACACACACACACACACACACAGATATCCATGCACATAGACACACTACTTTTTGCATTTTGAAAGTACTGATCATAGCATTGCATCAAAACCCACTTCACTCTTCATTTCTCAGAACCATGTTTCGGAAAAGAGCTTCTTCAGCTGACACCCTTGTCTTCACCACCACATTCAGTGTTGATGATGAAGATAATAAAGGCTAAGTCTGACATTTCTGCATTTCACTCATAACATTTTTCTCATTTTTCTGGCTTTGGGACTCTTTGTTTTTCAGTTGAACTGATTCAGACCGGAAAATACACACAGACACACACACACAGAGACACACACACACACACACACAGACACACACACGCTGTACCATTGAAGATGAAAGCACAGCTTCCTATAGAAAGCAACGCTTTCCTCAGGAGTGACTCACTGAGAACACTGGCAGCTTCCAGACTTCACACATTACTTCCCCATATCGGCTGAATTTAGCATTCACCAGCTCGGTACTAAAACACGCAGAACTCAAAGACATGTGGTGAACTCACATCTTCCTTGCTGTCTTATTCCAAATGCTCGGAGAGCTACTTTGAATTTATTTGTTTTATTTCTACTTGTAAACACATCCTGGTGATATTTATAAAAACTCAGGTAGAGATACTGCCAGTTCAGAACCTCTCAAATTGCTTTTTGACTATGGTTCCACTTCCATGGATAACTTCACAATTCTAAATGTGTATTAAGTTCTGGATTAGTTAATCATTCTGATTCTTGCCTATCAACACAATCACTAACAGGCACTAACGTCCATGATCTATACGGTATTACATGTAGGTATCACATCACCAAGAAAATACTCTTCACTTATGTGAGCTTATGATTCATTTAGCATCCAGGTCGTTGATTTATAAGGAGATCCTGCCAACTCCCCAGTCTGCCTGAATGTGTCAGCTTACCAAATGTCTGCAAGTGCATATTAAATTACCTTTTACAATAATGATGACAATAAATTCTACCATGGCATCTCCAGAAAACCATCATGTTATGCAGACTTAGATGCCTCTGACCGCTGCCAGGAGCCAGAGGACATCGGTATTAGGCAACGTCCTCCTCGATGACCGCCTGGCCTGTCACTTTATCTGATGGGATGCCATCTGTTCATCCTGCTGCCATTCTTGAAGGAACCAAGGTTAAAAATACACTGCATGTAATACAGTCACACGGCTGATTGTATTTGTGTAGCAGGAAGTTTTCTCTCTTAAGCTACTCATGAAAATATTTTGTGTGACTACGTTTCCACAGGGAAGTAATTGACTCTCTTAAGTTGCACAGGCACTGTTTATACAATTTTAACACTTGTTCTACAAAAAGGTAGAAGATGAGGGCATTCTTCATTTTAAGTGAACACTGCAGTGACAGTCTATATAGATTCACAATCAATAGCGTAAACTCTGATGTTATTGTCCTTTTCTGTAAAACAATGATGGATAATAATTGTGTCCATGACATAAGGTTGTTATGAAGATTCAATAAGGTAACTCATGTAAAATGTCACATAAAACTGTTGTTATCGTTATGTATCTCAGAGTAGGAGCTGGTCCAATAGCTGACCCTCCAGAGGGCTTTCAGAGACAGTCGATCCCATGGGAGGGGACTGTCCATCCTTCTCCTGCGAAGGGACTGGTGGATTCACATCATCTGCCTTTGGATGGTCAGTGTGGTTCCTTATCACAAAACCACCAGAGTTAGCATAACATTTATTCCTCAATAAACATTAAACAACAACATTATCAACGCTAGGTTTTGGCTTGACTTTAATCTCAAATTGGTAAAATAAAGTTTGAAGCCAGATATAGATAGATAGATGATAGATAGACAGATAGATGATAGATAGATAGATAGATAGATAGATAGATAGATAGATAGATAGATAGCTGTTGACTGTCTTTGAGTTGAGCATAACTCATTGCGACCCTATGAACAGGCCTGAAGACGCTCTGCATGTATATTATATATATATGACATAATGTGCTTATATAGAGAAAAATCTATAAGATGGCTCCAATTTTTATAATGCATTGCATTTGATCTTAAATATATGCCATGCCTGTATTTTAAGAGCGATCCATTTTTACACCTTCTCAGCAGTGTATTATGCAGTGTTTTTATGACTGCATGTCATCTCCTGAAATCCTGTGAACCAGAATGTCATTGACAAGTACACACAAAGCACTGTTTCAACCTCTCAGAAGGCAAAGAGCTAATGTTCACAGAAGTTCCCGCTTCTAGACTTGCTGAAGCCTAAATCCAAAAGCATCGTTCTCCCCAAAAGGCTGCAAAGTTAGAGGCATTTCTCTGGTGAGAAAGTGATGAGTATTGCAGAGTTAGTACGTGTGACACTTCCTAGTTGGTCAGAGTCTGAAAGGTTTTGTGACCTTCATTTTTATGCAGGGAAGAAAGTTTAGGCTACAACATGAACAAGTATTTTAGAGATTGAAGGGGGGAGGGAGTGAACCACAAACAGTAACATGCAGACACAGAATTAGAGACATAAACCTCTCCACTTGGTAAATTAAACCAACAGTATATTTATTTCAAGTCTCTGAGAACTCCAGTTGGTTAAACCTTTTTTAGGTCCCACTCATTGCCTAAGAACAAGATAGGCCTATTAAAGCACAGCCCTGGCTGGCTACATTGAACCTCTATTCCCTGTACTGCTTGGGTTTCTATGTACCAGTTTCTATCTTGAGTATCATAGCTTCCAGTATTATGAAATTTTACCTCATTTTTTAAAGTATGAAGAAATAAATAATAATCCATAGTAAATAATGGCTGACAAAGCATAACAAGGAGCAAAAGTATGTAAATAAAAATTGTACACATAGAACTTAACACATTCTCTTCACTTACACACAAACGCATAGCCTATATTAAGAAAACTTAAATTCAATATTAAAATAATAATATAAAGAAGGAAATAGTTACCATACATATCTTAGAGCTTCCAATACAAGCAGGACTAGCACTCACACACCACACACCACTCTTACAAGGGCTTTGTGAAGTATTCACAATAGAGCAAAATAGGTTTCTTAATTTGAGGGAGGGATATATATTTATCATAAAAAGAAAGGTTAAGAAATAAATACTTAAGGTGACTAAACTGACACAAAACAATTACTTCACAGTAACTACGCCTTCAACTGTTTCAAGTATAGTATTTAACTGGATAATTTGCAGATTTGAATAAATCTCTTATGTACCAAAAGTAAATATTCTAATGAAATTTCATAAAAGTCAGTGTACATACAACAAGTGTTTCCTATGAAATGATCATCTTTACAAGAAAAAAGTATGGTAAAAGACATGACTTACCTCTTCCCATTGATGTATGTATCTAATCAACCTTGAAAGTCGTAACAAACGCAAGAGACTGAGAATTTTTGTAAACCTCACGATACGAAGCGCCCTGGCTGTCTTGTAAACTTCAGAGTCCATTCCTTTTTCTACTATGAGAAAGATATAATCCACTGGGATTGATGAGATGAAGTCAACCACAAACCAGCTTTTTAAATAATTCATTTTGATGACTTTAGGGTCCAGGATGATTTCAGAACTGTCCTCGTTGACAGTTCCAGTCCTAAAATTCATGATCAGATCCAATAGGAAAACAGTATCTGATGCCACATTGAAAATAATCCATGGTGTTGTTGTTTGCTCTGTGAAGAACGTGATTCCAACTGGTATGATCACCAGATTTCCAACCATCATTATAAGCATTATTAAATCCCAATAAAACCTAAAGCAAACAAAACAAAAAGTCAGATGTTAATATGTACACAAGGACCAGGTCATTATTTCATATATTCAATCTTTGATTATATATGAAGAACAAACCAAAGAGGTGATTGTGTAAAACGGCAATTATTTCAATAAATTTAAATTCAGCTCTAAGCAAAACGAATGGGTTCCTAAAGAAAGTCATTATGAGTACAGGATTCTGAGCAGTTCATTGCAAACGCTCAGGCAGCACTGTCAGGTGGGAACAGACTCAGAGCTGACCCCCTCACGGGGCTGCCAAGGCTGTGAGGTGCACAGGAGGAGACTGGCATGCTTCGAGGGAGTCACCGGTGCACATGAACTCCCACAACCATGCACTCTTTGCACGAGGGTCACAACCACCTCCAGAGCACCACTGTTGCCGTGTACACCAAGCCAGAACCAACTCAGAGTTGACCCCCCAGGGGGATTTTACAGACTTTCAAATCACACAGGTAGAGAACGGCATTTTTCTCCTGCTGGATTTGAACCTCATGCCTTTGGGCTGAGAGTTTAACACTGTACAACTAGATCCCAAGAGCTACTGAAAGACTATTATTACAAGTAAAATTCATGAATGTCGGTATCTTCATATACTTACTGCAGAAGTAAATGCAGTCTTCCCTTTTCACAGAAAATACAGATAGAAGAGAAAAACACAAGCCCAGAGATCTCCAACTTTATGGGTTTTCATTCAATCTTTCACAGACATTTTGCTTTCTAACATTAATTACAATTGATCAATCTCATTTTAATACGACATCTCATCAAATCCTCACCATAGCTTGTCTTTCCCTTCACCCTAACCCATCTTCTTAACATCCTCCTATGAAGACTTTTTGCAGGTGCCTGGGCACACTTGATATGTCCAATCACCATGTAGAGACTTGAAATGAATCATTAAGTTAACAGTGGACATCCAAGTGGTAGCCTTACAGTGCTTGAATACGCATGCTTCATTCTTCTTTAGAATGGAGCAATAGAACTAACTCTGGTCTGAGCCTTGAAAGAATTGAACAGAATTAACTCTCGACTATAAACAAGAATCTACCTCAAATTTAAACTTTTTATCATCATCTTATTAAACAGTGTCTAATTATTTAAAACATGTCATTATTTTTTTCAAACCGTATTTTCTAATTTTAAGTATCAGATTAAATGTTTAACATGCCTATGAGTCAGTGAGACTGGCTCAGGGCAGAACAGTGTTCAGAGCTACTGTATATGGGGTTGCTGTCTGTCACAGGTGGCTCAAAGGCACGTAACAATAATAACAATAACATTTTCTTCACAACATTATTATATTAAAACTGAGAAAACAATAGCTCTGTTTCAGGTGTATACCACTTAACTAACCTCATCAGGAATGACTATAAGATTTTCAATATGCCACTTTCAAGTCTATTAACAGCATATGTAACAGATCATCAACTATGTTATTGTTATATATAGTTTAGTCATGGTGTATGTTCAGGAGCACGGGTGGTCTAGTGGCAACAAGCTGTGTTGCAATCCCAAAGGCACGCAGTTCAAATCCACCAGTTGCTCCGTGGGAAAAGGATGGTCAGTCTCCTCCCGTGCAATGAACTGACTCTGAAGACCCGCTAGAAGGTCAGCTGTGGGTTGGTTCTGACTCTGCAGTACACACAACAACAACATAGTCTATGTTTATGAAAAGGAAAAACCAATCCACTAATGCAATTCTGTTGTTGTTGCTGCTGTGCCATCAAGTAGGAATCAACTCACAGCCAACCTCGCAGTGAGATTTCAGAGACAGTAAATCACATGGGAGGAGATTGCTCCTGCTTCTGCCACGGAGCAGCTGGTGGATTTGAACAGCATGCCCTCGGGACTGCAGCACAGCTTCTTACCACTAGGCCGGCAGAGCTTCCTAGTTCTAGGATCATTCTATGCTGTCTAGAAACACGAATTGTTTCATTCTAGTCATAGGCATCCTCCTATGGAAGTCTTCTTCCATAAATGCTATCATCTAATCGGGAAGAAATTTATGTTAACCAAGTAATTCTTTTTAAAAGCAATTCTTACTCTCTGATTATCAGGCCACATTTTGGTAGCGTAGACATGTGCAGGCCTGGGGTTACAGTGCTGTGTGCTGGACTACTAACTGAAAGGTTGGCTGTTCAAACTCACTAGCTGTCCTACAGTAGAAACAAAGACTGCAGTCTTGGCAATAAGATAGATGCAAATCAAAACCACAGTGAGGTACCATCTCAATCCAATAACTGTGGCAAAGTTTAACAGGGCATTAAGTAATAGATGTTGGAGAGGATGTGGCAAGAAAGGAACTCTTTCTTTTTTAATTAATTAATTATTATTATTTTTTTTTTACAGAGGTTTTGGATTTCCATTCATTAATTGCCGCAATTTTCTCCCTGCCCACCCCTCCCCACCAGCTTGCTTCCCCCTCCGGATGAAAAAAAAAGAAAAAAAAATTCCTTCATTAGTATACAATTCCCACGTCCCTTCCCCCCATCCCCCACCCCGAGTACACTTCTCTATGCAACCTTAATTCTGGATTCCTGTGCTAACCGTAATACTCAATCATATATCACTTCTAATCTGTTCTTTCCCTCATCTGTTTCAATATAATATACATAATTCATCCAGTTTTTTCTGTCATACCCCCACCCTGATGTCAGACCCATTCTACAACAGTGGCACCATGCAGTATTTGTCCCTTTGTGACTGAGATATTTCACTCAGCATAATGTCCTCCAGGGTCACCCACTTTGAATAATATTGCATGAGTTCCTTGTTTTTCA